CTAAAGGTGTGCACTCTTTGGGGGTGCAACTTTTATTAAAAAAGGATTCAAAAAATTAAACAAACAAACACACACACACACACACACACAAACAGACAAAATACTAGTTCTAATAAATGACTGGTCAGAAATCAGATCTTCACATCTTGAGAGATAGTAACGAGTAGATAGTAATTAATTAGTAACTTTGATAGTGACTGGTCAGAAATCAGATCTTCACATTTTGAGAGATAGTAACTAGTAGATAGTAATTAATTAGTAACTTTGATAGTAACTTTGGCTCATATCATCTTCTGACACAGTTTCTGATTTGCACCTGATTTACACAATTTTAATCAGCTCTATTTGCAAACAATTAACCCAATTCATTCATGTATATCTGGTCTAACTCAAGACCCGTTACACACTCAGGGTTTCCACAGTCATTGGAATCTTAGGACATTTTAAAATTGTGATTTCGAAGCCTGGAAAAGTCATGTAAATAAACAAAATTCTCAAAAAATTATGACATTTCTACAGTGATTATATGTAGCAAGTTATGTGCAGCTCAAAAATATTTCAAAATCTTGAATTTGCTGTTTGTGAGTGCAGCTTTTCTAAAAGGATTTAAACATTTTATTTACTAGAAATGAACAAAGTTAGTAAATCTGACTCTTGAGGGCTGAACTTAAGTATATAATATATAATCTTACATTCAGATTCTCATCATATTCAACTACTGACACTTTCTGATTTGCACATGATTTACAAACTTGAAAAATGACCAAAATCCCCCAAAGTTAGGGAAATGTCATGAACAATTATTTATCAAGACATTTACCAAGTAATGTGCAGCTCAAGAAAGAAAAAAATATATTTCAGGAGCTACAAAATTGATCTTCGTGAGTTAAAATTCTTTAAAATGATTTAAAAAATCTTTATCATCTAATAACCGATGACTATAAAAGTAATGGAAATTCATTGGTCAAAAAGTGTGGGATCCTGCCCATCATTATTTAGATGCTGTGGTTTCAGTGCTACTGTGTTTATAAAGCAGCAGGCTGCGTATTTAGATGTAGGAGTTAAAAAATGACTTTGCTCTGTCACCATCCCCAGTAGTGCAGTGTTTATGAGCGGTAAAGTGCACTTTAGTGCTGTTGCGCACCTCCCAATGCATGCGGCTGAGGTCTGGAATTCTAACTTAGAAACACCGGACCACTCGGGAATCATTCTCACTGATCCTCTGAGCAGATTTCTACAGTCACTGTTAAGCCACAAAGAACAGTGTCATGTTGCGAAATTCAAGTCCATGCGATCTGCTTTTTGTTTGCTTTTCTTGGCATGCCAGAAGGTTCTCCTTTAGACGCCAAGCTACACAAACCTCTTCGCGCACACACAGACCCGTCCACCACCTGCAAAACAGGACCCTCTTAACACACTTTTTCTGTCCACGGTGCTTGTTTGTATCAGTGTACTGTCCCAACCAGCTCATCAAGGTGAACAGCCAGCTATTGTTCCGTACCCTGTGGCATAATCACTTCCAGACTCTCCACTGCCATGCCATGATGCAAAACAGGCCCGCTTGATCCATGCCCATTACGCTGCATGTGATTTCAAATCAAAACATTAGCTGAATTCATCTCAGTGACCTGGAACAACAGGCAAACTAAGTGAAAGATTAGTGAGAGTGACAGTAATAAGTTGTGGTTAGCGTTTGTACATTACAGCATGTACAGTATCATTAGGTTTTTTCCTACTGATTGGCTGGTCAACTTGTTTTATTTTTGATTTTAAAAAGTCAGCTAATGAATCTAGAGAAACTTTTTAATGACAATTTAAAGGAGCTGTGCAGTCAGTTAGCGAGTGTTGAAAAAATGGTAAAGACCACAGATTTTTGGACAGCGCTTGCAACCGAATCGTACATCACGGTCACCTGTCATTATATAGTTGATTGGGAAATTCACAGTGCTGTTCTGCTGACCAAAGCCATGCCAGAGCGGCATAATGCTGAAAATCTGGCAAATACGCTTTCCACTGCTTTGGACCACTGGGGACTAAGTGGAAAAATCACTGCATGTGTGCATGACAGTGTGAGCAACATGGTGCTTGCCAACACTGAATGGTAAGTGGGACTCAGCCTTGTTTTGCACACACACTCCAACTCGCTACAAATGACGGTTTCAAGCTTCAACACATAAACCATGTCGTTGCATCTGCCAGTCGTCTTGTTTCTCATTTCCATCACAGCACAACTGCAGAACTTGCCTGAGCGCAAATTAGTGCAGTACTGCTGAACTAGGTGGAATTCTATTCATGACATGTCCGAGCGCTTACTAGAGCAAAGATGGGCAATATCTGCTGTCTTATCAGACAGAGCTTTCACTAAACTGTCAGATGCACAAACCCTCGGACTGACTGATGATAGCTGGGGAGTTATGGAGGACCTCTTACCAGTGCTTCATTCACTTAAATGTGCCACCACTGCCTTGTGTGGAGAATCCGGGGTATTCGTCTCCATGGTTTACCCAGCAGCTCTTTTGTCAAAACACCTCAAAGAAATCCCAAGAGAGTCTCCCAAAGTCTCTCAGTTCAAGCAAACAGTGTCTACTTAACTGGAGCGGTGACTTGCACTTGCAGATGTCAGCAGCGCTTGCAAGGTTGCATACATCGCATCCTTCCTGGATCCTACACACAAACACCTGAGGTTCGCAACTGAGGAAGTTAAACGTGCTGTGCAGGCCAAAGTGTGTGATCTCATATCGAACCGCTCAGAGAGCGAGGAAGAGATAGGCCTAACAGTACAGTAGATTCAGATGAACACAACTGTTGGCCAAAAAGTCACAAAGTGATTCGCTGTCTGCATCTGCAATCACAGTCTTGTTTGGTAAGGACTATTACCTAGAAATCTTAGACACAAGGATATAGGACATGTGCCCACTCATCCGCATCCCCATGAACTGCTGGAAAACCAACAACCACAAATTCCCCCGACTGGCAACGTTATCAAAGGCTTACTTGTGTGTGCCCGCAACGTCTTTGCCATCAGAGAGGGTGTTCTCTGCGGCCGGACTAATTGTGAACAGATTGCACTCCTGTCTTTATCCCGAACATGTGGACTTACTCATTTTTTTTTATAAAAATATGAGATAGGTTATTGTTATGAAGACAGACGTTAAAATGAATGTTCACTTAAGTGCCATCATTCAGGCTGTTCGCAATATGTTTTAACACATTTAGGCCTAGCCTAACATCAGTACGGCTTGAGGTGATACTGATGATATTTAATCTATCAAACTGTTTTGATTTTTTTTTTATAGCTATGAATGTACATACTCATTTTTGAAATGGAAATGTCATAGCCTTACGAGCAGTTGATTTATGCTAATCGACGGACTGTTATTTTAATAAGTGCTGCGCGCTCCATTATGGATTAAAAGAGAGGAGTAAAACATAAGGTAAGATGGCAAATAGGTAAATAAATGTAGAATTGCACTGTGTTTGCTTACGTGCATCAATCAGAGTGTAATCAGTGAAAGATGTTGTGGCAAGTGCAACGTTAAGCCACTTAGGTGCCGCGCGCTCCATTATGGATTAAAAGTGAGGAGTAAAACATAAAGTATGGTGGAAAATGGGTAAATAAGTGTAGATTACTGTTTGCTTGTGTGCATCAATTGGAGTGTAAACAGTCAGAATGGTGTATATTGAACTATTGTGTGTACCGTTTGGCTCCCGCTGGTAGCAGGGGATAGTCGCTGCATTTGGGGTAAAAATGACACAATTATTTATTGTGTAAGGTGCCAAAGAATAGAAGGAGACCAGGGTTGCACTGTCAGTTGGTTCACACGCATCTTATCGGATTGGCAGCTGCCTCCGGGGGTGGCAGGTTTCGTGACAACTCCCCCTGTCATGCAAAGATTTCACTCCCTCTCCAAAGCAGCGCAGCATATGACTTTGAAATGTGCAGTGCTTATATTTATTCAATGAAATCATGGCCTTTTGAAGCTTAATCATCACATTAAGCCATATCGCAATTCTTGTCTTTCTGTCCCCAAATTTAAGACCTCTTGAAATCATAATTAAGATTTTCTTATGCCATTTAACACTTTTTATGGCCTTAAATTTGAAGCAACTTTTTAAGGGCCTGTCAACTTTCCTAATTTTTGAGAATGCCATTGTTCACTGAAAGTTTCTTCTGTCTATGTGCCGCTTTCTGCTCTCTTCACTGCACGCACGACTGCACGTCTGAACG